CCTAAAGGCCAGATCGCGATCCGTCTTGAAGCGATTCGCTCACTATGCCGCAACGACTCACATGAGAACTTGTGTCGTAGACTTGCTTGTGGAATCGTGTTTCATGGCGGATGCTGATGTGTGTTTGGAATCCAGAATTTATGTGCTTGTTGCAAAGCGTCCACCAGGCCTAATTTTACATGAGAAACAAGGTGATGAACCCATGTGTTAAAACAGGTGCTTGCGGCACGTATTCATGTCATTCGTTTTGCGACATGTGTTGAAACCCCTGTCCGAACCATGTTAAAGTGACCAAATGCGCCATGTGCGCCATGAAGGGACTGTAATCCACGCTTGTAAAAAAAAGAGCGTGAACAAATGACACTTCCTTTTTTTATTTCCAAAAGCCCAGCGCAAGAACACATAACTTCGCACAAAATTGGATGTGCTTTGCCGTAATGCTGCCTATTGCTCCAATGGCAATTGCACTTCCTTCTGCCTTCGAAGAAGCTTTAAGTCAGGCTCATNNTTTCTTGCTTTATTTTTTTCTTTTTTCGTTTTTAGCCCCCAAAAAACGTTTTCGTGCTGTGTGCACAGTGCGGACAAATCTTTGCCTGGAAAGTTCGAACTTTTGTCCTCACCGCTATCCTTACCCGGTCCTCACCGAGGCACCGTCGTCGTCGTCGTCTCCACGCCGCCGTGCCGGTATCCTGTAGTGGTAGTGACACATGGTGCCTGCAAACTAGAACTGCTATTTTTATCCAAAATCTTGATGGTCTTGCAATCTTGCTCAGGCGGGCAGGGGCAGGCAAGATTGCCAAGCAGTCTTGCTCATCTTGCCCTGCAACTGCGAGGCTGCAGCGACTGTGAGGACACCTGGGAGCTGCAGCGATTGTGAGGGGCCTGAGACTGCTGTGAGAACATGGGGGCTGCAGCGACTGTGAGGGCGCCTAGGGCTGCAGCGGGCACCTGAAACTGCAGCGACTGCGCCTGGGGCCTCAACGACCGTCGCCGTCGTCGCGTCGTCGCCGCGCCGTCGCTGCGTCATCGCATTGTCGTTTTCACCTCTACCGCTATTCTCACCCCGGGGATTCACACCGGAGCTTCCACAAGTGTATGGTCTGTAATATTTTTTCGTATTATTATTATTTTTTCTACGCGCCTTTTTGACCGCACGTAATGTCTCGACGCAGGTCCCTCTGCCGGTCATGCTCAGTGGAGGTGATGGGCAACAAACGTCGTGGCCGAGAGGAGATCCCAGCACGGTGGGGGAGAGACGGTCTCCGACCCAAACGGGCTCGTGGGCGTCACGCGACAGCGGGCAGCTCCTCCCTGGCAGCATTCCAGGATGCTAGTCTTGCCTTCGTGGAGACGGATTTGTGCACGGTCGCATAGAGCGGTGCTGAGGGCATTGTACAGGGCACGAGTCCTTTCAGGCAGGGCGACGATGGACGTCATCGAGGAAAGCGAACACAGCCTCACCATCGCAAAGCTGCCGCTGCAAGTCGTAGAGCGCGTCATGCTGCGCCAAGGCGTCAAAGGCGGGCATCAGGGGGTCGCCTTGTCCGCCGCCCTTTCCCTGGCTCACCTCATGCGGGCACCCGTCATCATCGCACGACGTGTAAGACGCTCGGAGAAGAATAGAGCTGCCGAGCGAAGGGGTGGAGCTCGCGTCGGGCGAGGAGCGCCCCGAGAATCGTGCCACGGGAGACATGGTCAAACGCGCCGACAGCATCAACTGAGAGGATGGTGGCGCGTGGGCATGCTTCGGTGGCGGAGCGGAGTAAACGGCTTGTGGCTTCTACTATTCCAGTGCAGGTGCTCAGGCCGTACTGGTTGGTTCGGGGGTGTTGGGTGGGGGTTGAAGCGTAGAGAGGATGGATGTGCACGGACCGCTAATGTGCGAACCTCAAGGGAGGCTTGTCCTTGAACGACCGAGCATCCAAGCAAACAACAAACAAGCAAAGAACAAAGCAAACCAGGGTGTGAAATGGCACATGACAAGAACCATGGTGTACCACGACACTACGGCAAAAGTCGCATCTCACATGATCCCGTTGCTTGATGCTGGCTTTTGTGGGCCCTGCTACATCGCTCGGAAACGATTCCAGCTGGAGCTGAAACCGACCTTCTAAAACCTACATTGTCCCATTTCAGCCTACATCGGCCATTTCAGCCAGGGTCACATGTTCCGTGTACTTGGGGCCTACATCATGTATTTCAGCCCATGCCGTTTTGCCATCGGCTCATTGGCCATGAGACGGCTCGAGCCGAAAACTCGGGTTAGCTCCAGCCGTGTAAAGCAGCTTTCGTATCGTAGAAAGCACACCCTCTCGGGCCTCGGGTCGCAGGGAAGGGGGGGTTGGGCGACGCCGGGCGGTCGCTCGTTGCCAGGAGCCGGACTCTACAACCGATAGCCTGTTTTACGACATGTCTAACAACATGATACATGAGACCGTTTGCAAGTAACTTGTTGGAGCCTACATCGCCCTATTTCAGCCCACACGAGCCTACATCATGACAGGATGCCTACATAATCATAAAATCGACCCACACGGGTCTATTTCAGCTCTACACCCCCCCATTTTAGCTGCTAGAATGGGGTGATGTAGAGATGCTGGTGTGTAGAGACGGGGACCTCACATGCGGCAGCTGCGTGGCTAGAAGCACGAACAATTGTAAAATGTATCAGATGGATGATGATGGATGTGTGTAGCCAATTCCAACACGCCTTCTCCATTCGAGCTGGGGCCAAGGCACTCGCACGCGCTGAAACGGTTTCGTGCGAACAGAGTCCGAGTAAGACGGTAGTCAGAATTCAGGGTGCACGTTTGACTGCATCGATGTGCACCCTGGCAAGACGCGCGTTTGGAATTCCACGTGCGAGGCACCCGCCTCCTGCGTTCGTGGAGCGCACCCTCGGCAAGCCGCTGCGAGGATGGCAGCGAGCCGCCGCGGCCTGATTGGACGCTTCCGGTTGACCGCTTGCACGAGCCTTTTTTCTGACCTTGACCCGGCTTCGCGCGCGTTGATGGTGTCCCCAGGCAGGCCTCGCCGCATTTCCCACAGCTCCGGAGTTCCGACTGTCGAGCTCTTGCTTCCGAGTCGTGTTGCTGAGACGGTTGCGGCTGCCCGTGCCACTCGGGCCGGTGTGGAGGCGTGCTCGATGCCTTGGGTGACTACCGCAGAGCGTGCCTTCGGAACGTGCGGGGCAGCGTTGGAAAGAGCCGCGAGTCTCCGACATGAATGTCGACGTACCCTCGCTGATGGCCGCAGCATCGAGGTGCTAGCGAATGCACTGCCCCTTTGGCAGGCCGCCCAGACGGCCGTCGGCACCAGCCTGGTCTCGGCAGTTACGCGGGCGGGTGGCGTGCAGCCGCATGCGGATGGTGTCCCCAGCACGGCGCTTGAGCAGGCGGCGAAACGCAAACGCCTCCACGTATACCAGGAGCCTGCGGTCGCGCGCCGTTGCAAATTGGTTGTGCTCGCCTCGGAAGTTGGCGGCAGGTTCGGCCCAGAATCCGTGGCCTTCCCACGGCAGTTGGCCAAGGCTCGAGTCCACCCGGCCGTGCAGCGTGCCCCCCTACACCGTTGGACGGGCATGCTGCCTGTGGCGGCGCAGCGCGCGCTGGCTTCCTGGCTGCTTACGTTGCCCTTGGCGGCACCGGACGAATGCGACGGCACGGATGCTCGCGGATGCTCGCGACACCGCGCCAGTGCCCGCGAGCCGACTTCCGGCACCGTGCTAGTCTACCGGACTCCTCGCTGCGAGAACCGCGCCCTGCTTGTGGGCGACGTGCTGGTAGCTAGCTGTAGCCCTAGCCGTCGGAGCTGAGGCACCTTTTGCAGCCGGAAAAAGGTCCGAGATAAAAAATACACAATCCCATCGCTAAGAAAAAAACCTACATCCACATTTGGCTGCCGAACCCACCCGCAATTTTCAATAGTATTTTCAAGCCTCAAAAGGCCGCTAGCACAACCCATGCTTCAATGAAGCACGTGTTGTGCGACGACATGGAAATCGGGGCACGATAAACCTGTCGGGGCATATTGTGCAACCTTAGACAGGCATCGATGTGTCGCGGCGTTGCAAGCAACGGCGCTGCCCGGAATTGGCTCGGCCCACCATCCGCGGACGTTGGCGGCAAGACGCGTGCGAGCGTGCCGCTGGCGCTTCGAGCTGGGGCGCGCGCGGGTTCGGATTGCAGGTGGTGTGGGCAATTAGGCTGGGTCGCAGCTCGCCGAGGCCGAGCGGCTGTGCAGGTTGCCCTTGCGTGAAGGACGCAGGCGGCGGTTGATAAAGGAGCGCAGAGAAGACAAAGAAAAGGAAAACCTATATGTATACATATATATATATATATATAATTCACATAAATATACATACAAATACACACACATACATACATTCATTCAATGCAGTGTTATGAAGTGCAACAAGCATTGCTGCAAGGCATACGCACGAAAATCGCTTCCTTCGGTCTTTTAGCTGGGTCACTTTACTTTGTCGAAACTTCGACGGACACGCCTTCGGCTGCAGTTCCCGGCCGACCTCTATCCATCCGAAGTCCCAGCACTTCGATTTTAACCCAAGCTTAGGATTAAAACTCGCTGCGATTTGAGGTGCTACCGAGAAGGTGCTTTCGGCATTTTTCCTTCAGATGGCAGCGCGCGGCATGTGAGTTCGGTGTTGCAGCTTGAGAGTAGGCTGCAACGAGGCACGGATCACATACAAGTATCGATGTGGCCGCCAAAGATTGCAGTTGGTGCCCCTACTCATTCTGCAGTGCGAGCGATGAGGTTCAACATGTCATGTCGAAGCAGTTGATGTTGTGCCTGTGAGTGGCATGGTGTTTCGATGGTTTGTTTGCTTCGTGTGCTCAGCCGTCAGCCAGAACTTCACGACAGCATATGAACGGTTGGACGAATAAGCTGAGACAAAAAACAGACACGCCTAGCAAATCCGAGCCGGTTCTCAGCCACAAACAGCATCCGTTTCGAACTTCACAAATCAGTTCAAAGCC